GTTTAAATGATTAAATAATTTAAATATATATTGAAAAATGAAAAGTAAGGCATTAACGAAATAAATGAATTTTAGTAGCGCTAGAATCATCCAAAAAATTGATTCTCACTTGATGTAATATTTAATATATTAGAGATATGTGGTTAAAAGGTAGGAAAAAAATTTGGATTACTTGTAAAATATTTTATTGTGAAAACGTGTGATTGAAAATAAGTAAGAGAATTGAAGAGTTTTGTTTTAAAAGGAGACAAACATGATCTTAATTAACTCACATTTAATTTTTATTTTTTTCTCTTATTTTTTGATTTGGCCTGAATTTAAGTCTAAGTGCCAGTAGTATTATCCTGAATAACCATCAAATTGAATCATTTTTCGTGATTGGTGGGTAACTCGTATTGATGTTGACTCATCACTGGGTTATATTTCAAAATTTAGTTATTAAGTAGTAGCACTTTCTATGGTTCGGTGACCATTCATTCAATTAACCAATTTTCAATTTATTGCCTTGTTTGCAAGTTGGTATCTGGCAATTAAATAACCATAGTACGAGGTTAGGAATCTGATCATTCATGACTCGATTCACTGTTGCATAAATTCATGAATCTTCTAGAGAGCAGCTCTCCTCCTCGCCTCCCCGCCTGGTCACACTCTATCCCATTTTCTGAGCAACACACGAAACATCTGATCATAGAGAAATGCAAGGTAGGATTGAAAAGGGAAGAATATAAAAATAGAAAACGAAAATAGCGTGAAAGGGTGGAGAGGAATGTGACTCTATGGTAACAATTATATTTCATAAGGTTAAATTGTAGGATAATTCTATGTGTATATAATATTTTACACAATATTTTACACCCCCCTCACATGGAGGGGGGCCCACACAATAAAATATTTGTGGGCTTACCTCCGTGTGAGGGGGGTGTAAAACTAGCATTATTCTAAATGGTATGTCGACAAAGAAAGCATCTAAAAGTAAACATTTTTATTTGATCATTACGAAAAAAACACTATAAAAAAATAAAATCGCCAATTTCTTAAACGTAAGTAAAGAGTTTTCAAGTAAATAGTAGAATTTCAAGAGGGGATCTAAAACCAATGCATATCCAATTTGTTGAATATTTTAATTCTTTAAAACCCTCTGGAGTGGTTTTTGTTTATCGTTTGGGGACTCATTATATAAATAAATAAATAAACATAAAAGCCACTAAAAAATTAAAAAGAATATATGGTTAGACTTGACTTTGGATGTTTGAAACAAATTCAAGAAATATATTCTTTTCTATCATTTTATCGATTTCGTCTTTCTATCAAAACCTCAATAGCAACAACAATTGCCAAAATGTTAGTCGACCATGAAGAGGAGGATATTATTGGAGGGTATGTACACCTTGAAATGTGCACCCTAGCATGTATCTTCACTCATTGCCACGTGATAAAAATATTGTGGTGTAGAAATCACGGTGACTTTCAAGTGAGGGAGTCGAGTATTTTAAGGTATGTTTTGAGAGATTGTACTCCGTCAAATTTTCAATTAAATTACTATAAAGTTATTAGAGCGAATTCTCTTCCATGAAAAAACAAACCGGGTAGCACTACTATCTATAGAGGTTAACGAATAGGACTTTTTCGCATTTTTCTCTCGGAAACGTGAATGAATTGTCTATGTTACTATTAAGATGACAGGGTGAGGTAGAATTCTAAAAACATTGTACTCTAAAAAAATAAAAATGAGAATGAGATAAGAATGTGTGCCAAATAGGGACTAAAACAATGACCAGAAAGATATTTCCTTTTCTTTCTTAAGACATGAATATTTTAGAATATTAACTAATATAAGGTTTTTGTAAAAATAATCGAATCATGCTAAAGTACCAAATGTCTTGACATAATCCTTAACATAACGTCACATTACATTCAATTATCAGACTATTTTAAACATAGTTAAGTTTTTCATCAAATTATTTGCTGTCACCTTGAATCATGTCACTGTATATTTGTACCTATTAAATTTCTTTTGATAAAGTGACAAAATCCACAATAATACTCTACCTTCAAGCATGTTTGAGTCCCACTATGTTGTTAAAATGCATTTTGAAATAATGATTTAATGAAGAATGTGTGGTTAAAAAATAAGAAATTTTTTAAATTTACATGTAATATTATTTTATTAAAATTAAAAATAAGAGAGAAAAAAAAATGTATTTTAAAAATACAGGGGACCAAACAGGTGCTTCAATCCTCTTTAAAGAAATTTCTTGAAAAAAAAAAAATCAAAGAGAAAAAGAGAATATAGAAATGAATTATTGATTCTAATTTTCGTCCTTTAGAATCAACTCGTCTCCCGAAAAACGTCTTAATTCTTTCTTTTTTCTCCGCCGCAAATCGCCGTTCCACCTCACGCGCCGTCGCACCGGCTAGATCAAACCGCCATCGCCATTTAACTGACCGATACTGCTCATTGGCTGCCCATAACAGGGTTGAGAAAAACCCCATTTCCAGGTTCTTCAACCACCATTAGATAGATCAGTGATTATAAATGCAGTGCTCGTGAATGTCAACAAACGCGCACATTTCTATATCCCGTAGTCTATATTTCTGTTTTGAGCTGTATGCATTTCCATAGAAAGCGGGTTTTAGATTGTTCTCTATTGTTTTGATCTTATGGTGTCATTTACTTGAATTGGGGGTATGAATTATGGATTTATTTTAAAATGAAATGTATATTCACAATTTGGGGTTATATATGATAGAAGTAAGTTAAGTTGCATAAATTTTAAACTTTTTTGGTGGGTTTATTGTGGTAATTCTAATAGCTAAAGCATTCAATATAAAGATCCTTTCTTGATAGTTTGGATGTATCAGAGTAAATTGGATGCTTATAGTGCTCTGTGGTCACTCTTGCATCTTGTTTTTAGTTCTGACAAATGACGATTTATTTCTAACTTTTTCATCTACCCTCTTTGAAATTCAGTAAAAAGCAATTTTATAAACTACACTTCATTTATTTGGTTGAATGGGTGGGATGACTTGGTGAAGCTGCAAGTTCTCACAGTTGGAAATGGGAAATGGATCAAGTTTGTTTTCACACTTGGCGTAACAACTATAACATTTTGGCCGTCATTTTGAATAAGGACATACCGATACAGTAGCTGAAACTGCTGAAGTTAATGATCTTGGGGGTAATCTTTTATTGATGAGTGTTGGAGAGTTTCACGAGTACACGTGCCATATGACCAATTGTTAGCTTGAAGCTCTATGAGTTCGAACTGAGGTGGGCTTCTCTGACATAAGAAGATGGTTTATGTAAAGAAAATAAGGTTAGGCTTACCATCAGACTATGATAGTTACCTGACTGACATGGATTTTGGGATTTGTTATTAGCTAGTGGAGGAAGATTTACTGTTGGTTATCCATAGAAGAGATTTGTCATATATGGTTGCATTATTTGGTACTGTAGATTTGTAGAGTATACTTGGTATTCCGTATTTGACAGAAGACATTAGCATCTGGAATCCATTTTCTTCGAGGACTTGTGAATTTTCAAAAAGCTCAGTATAGAGATTCTAATCACTTGCCATTATTTTTACGAGAAATATACTCCATGAAAATGGCAACATCGTAATTTTTTAATTTTTCAATATAATCTTACATTTTCAATTTTATTTATCCCATAATTTTATTTTAACAGAAATTCTCATTATTTGCAACTTTTATATTTGACTACAATATGCTAGAGAAAATAGCAGATTTGTTGTTGTCGCCTGTAAATAGGCTAACCATGTACGCGAATAATCAGTCCTTTACAATATCCTTAGACCTTTTCTCATTGAGAGCTCTATTTTATTTTTTTGGTGCATTCCGACATTTCTGAGCAATTTATGCTGTGTAAACCGGCACAGTCTATAGCAATTGAAACCTTGTTGGGTTGCTTGGGAACCAGAAGTTTAAAGTTTCTCAGTCAAAATATGAGTGCTTACACCTGTCAGTTTGATGCTTATTTTTATCTTGAATGGATGTGCAGATCCTTCAGCTAATGGTTAATTTTAACTAATAAACACAAAAAACTGGTACTTTTAAGAATTTTGACTTGCGATTTAGATATGACTGCTTGCATCTGTCAGCTATATGTGTACTTTTATGTTGAAAGGAAGTTAGATCCTACAGCTAATAGTTAATTTTAACTTGAAAATTTTGAAGAACTTTGATTTATGATTTTATTTAATTTTCTTAATCAAGATATCTGCTGTCTAAAAGCTCAAATTGTTACGACTCTAATTGTGTTGTGTATGGGGGATCCCTCAACAATTATCAGAAAGGAGAGTTGTTGTAATTTCAAGAACAAGAGGGGCAACTGTCAAGATTGTTTGTCCAGGAAAAAGTTATTGCCTACTTTAGCCCGTTTGAGCCCCATTTTTTTTTTTTTTTGGGAAAATGAGTTTTGTAATAGTGATTTTTTGGAAAGTGAGTTTAACAAGTAGGAATTATTATTATTATTATTATTTTTGGGTTTACGTGTAAAATTATTTTATTGGAAGAATGTGTCGTTGAAAACGAGTTTGGGAAAAAAATGAGTTTTTAAATGGAGTTCAAGCAGGGGCTTAATTTCTGTCTTGGATGATTTTTGTTAATAGTTCTATTCTTCAGTAATATTTATAGCCTGGAAGCTAAATTTACAAAGCTGTTATTGTTTCTTTGCAAATTTCATTAGAATTAAAATGTAGTCAGTTTTTAGTTAGTTCTATTATGATTTTCCTCCTCGATGTTGTATCTAATGGTGCAGAAGCCTTTGGTGAAGGGGGTCACTTTTGTCTGAGTCTTCTCTTCTACTCTTGCTAGCAGGCATTTCGAAACATCCTTCTTCCAAATCAGTAACTTGGGCGCTATATTATTGAAATTCCTGAAATCTCTTTTCCTTGAAAACCAAACCCGACCTAAAAAAATTGGGTCTGGGTACAAGGAACTAGAGGGATGCAAATTTTCATCGCAGAAACTCACAATTAATGTCACTTTTACTTCAGCATTTGAGATGGATGATATCTGGTTTTAATAGATCAGCAACAGTAAACCCTAAGAGGTTGGAGAATACTGATGTGAAGCCTTTGCCTCTCCTCTTGCCAGAGCAGAAGCAACAACTACCAGTGAAGCCCAACAATCTCAAAACTAATTATAAAAGGCCTAATAAGCCAATGTTGGAGGCTGTGCATGAGATTGCCATTTATATTCATCGATTTCACAACCTAGACCTATTTCAGCAAGGGTAAGCATAATATTAAGTTGACCTCCTTTTCTTTTCTTTTTCATTAATTGATTATGTTGGTTTAGCTTTTGTTTCCAATTTTCAGATGGTATCAAATTAAGATTACAATGAGGTGGGAAGATGGTGATTATGGTTCTTTGGTAACTCCAGCTAGAGTTATTCAATATGAAGGTACCGAGTACTTGTTGGGTTTGTGATCCCTATTTATTTCTAAATTGGTCACTTTGGATCTACTTCACTGAATTATGTTGATGAACAGATCTAAGAGCTACACTTATTGCCAAATTATCTTTTATCTGTACAGCTCCTGAATTGGGATCTGATGATGTACATGGAGTGTGGAGAATTGACGACACAGACAACAGTTTTTCAACACAACCTTTCCGTATCAAATACGCAAGGCAGGATATTCTTTTGTCCATGATGGTCTCTTTCAACTTATCTCTCAGTGAATTTGAGGTAGTAATCTTATCCTCTATTCCTTTTTGGGTATTTTGCACACTTCACAGTTGTGCATAGACTTATTTATTTATATTTTTATGTGTACTTTTGTCAGGGGTGATATAGAAAACTGAATAAAGGTATATAAATATTTTGGAGACAAGCGGTATAACTCTTCAAGTGCATCCAAAAACCTAAGGAAAATTGCTTACTAAATAATAAATATGTCAATGATGTCATGAACTGAAATACTCTTTCAGAATAGCAATTATCCTTCTTAGAAGAGATGTCAACCCTTATTTGGTTTAGGTAGATCATATACATGAGTACAGCCCTTTCTGACATAAGTTTGTTAAAGACCACTTTTGAAAGATGTAATGTTAGTCTCTCATATCCTTTAAACATGTTTGAATGCACATATACCTTCAGATTTCAGTGCTATTGGTGTATCACAGCAACTGAATGGGTATTATGATTACCAGGGTCCATCCACATTAGCTGTTATTCTGAAATTTGAGCTCATGTATGCTCCTGTACTTGAGAAGAGGTTAGTGGATAATATCTATATTTTCAATGTTTCCCTTTTTCAGCGATATATTGTATGAAACCATACACGCATTTGGTGGGGTGTATATTTAAGCTCATTAAACTTCATTTAGGCTTTGTACTTGGTGATTTTAGAACACGATTTGCAGGTCTAATTTGCAGGTGTCATTGGATGCAAGCCCAACTGCAGTCCATGAATTTCGGCTTCCCCCTAAAGCTCTTTTGGGGTTGCATTCCTATTGCCCTGTTCATTTTGATGCTTTTCATGCTGTGTTAGTTGATATAACTGTACACGCGTGCATGCTGAAAAGTGGGTTATCCTCTGCTTCCCTGGAAGTACCAAGGTTTGTAGTAACTTGCTTTTTTTTTTTGTAGCAACTTCCATTACCTAGGTATTAAAATTAATTTTTGTTGGATGTTTCAAAAATCATTTTTGGTGTTTTCATTATTTTTAGTATGTTCACTTTGATTACCTATTGATTCTTAGCAACTCGAATAAGCTTGTCTCATGTTTTTGAATAGGCTTTTTAATTTCATGTGTTTTTGTTGAATTAAATCTGTTGAACTGATGAAGGCATTTGTTTTTTTTCAGTGATTCTGGAGCTGATGAAGATGCTATTGTTGGACATTGCGATAAGTCAAAGCACGTAAGTAGTATTCCAGGATGTCTGTTCTAGAGTCAACTTTTCCTTGCTCTTCCTATTGAACAGAATTCTCATCTTATTGTGTTTATTTCACTTTTTTTTGTTGGATAATTATTTGTCTATTACTTTTCCATAATCTGCAATTCTATGTTGATAGTAGGTTTCTTCCCTTCCATAAATTCTAAAGTATCTTGATATGCTACGTAAATAAGCCCTTTAGACACCATTTTTAACAAATCTGTCATTGAATCCTTTCTATATAGATAATGCGATCTACTTTTTTATTTTTTTGATTATGTGATCTGTATGCTATCACATCACTTAACCACCTTTTTGAATCAATGTTACATACCCATTGAATTTGCATTTCCCATCAACATACAGAAATTTCAATTTGAGTTGCTTCTGCTCATGTGCATCATTTCTTTTTCCTGCACATGATCTTACAGATCAAAATTTTTGTTGAAATTTTTTGTGTTTCTAAAACAGGACATTCTTGTCAAAGAATTATCAAGTGCTCGTGACATACTCATTGAAGAGCTACAAAAGCTTAGCAAGGCTATCAATCAACCAATTGATATGGAAGATGTTAACCGATTATGTGCTATCAATTTAAGATCTGATCTGGAAAAAACCAATGCTGAAAGTTCTGGACAAATTTCAAGCAACCTCCAAAATGGTTCTGAGGTTCTTTTATCGATTCAATGCTATTAAAATTTCGTCATATCTGTTGAGCTTTTGCCGCTTCAAAATATTGTGTAACTGTTTCTAATGTCACGTGTTGTTGTGAGCTATGATCATCAGATATTTGTTACTTGAACAGAAACCAAATGGTGGGGTAGATTTTCAAGCAGATGGTTTTCCATATTCCTTATCTAAGGATACATCTAGCTCATTTGATTCAATTGGAAATCAAATTTTCTACCTATGGAGTATGTTTCTGAATTTTCACAGGTTTGTTTTTACTCTTCATACTCCATTTTATTGAACAATGCATGTCATTTTCTACTTTTTTGTAACATAACCTTTTAATTCCATTTTTTCTTCTGTCCCTTAAAATTTACATAAACTAGTATAAAAGAAGATGTTTTTTAATGGTCAAAGTCAGTTTTTTCCTTTTCAAAATGGATTTATATAACTGAGTTATGAAGAATTTTGCTCATCGTGGGGACATAGGAAAATATTTGCTTGATGTGGAGCAAGAAGTGCAAGGTATTTGGGGTTTTAATTCCTAGAGATGATTATGGTACAGTCAAGAGTGAGGATGGTGAAATTTGAAATTGTCAATTACTGTATCAAACATGCATTTAAGAGTGTTTACTACCTCTAAGAAATTAAAAGTTGTGCTCTAAATTGAGTCAAAAGATGTGGTTGGTAGATGGCTCTCATTGAATGTTGTATTTCAAGAAAATCACAATATGGGGGACTTGTTTCATGCTATTTCACTTTAGAAATCAGGTGAAAAGACATAAGATTATTTTTATGCTTTAGTGACTTCGGATTTAGAGCTCAAAGAAATCAAGATAAAGATGTATAGAGTAGAGATCTGGTGTACAGTACCCAATAGCACTGCTCACGGATTTCATGAAATTTTTACTTGTTAATGGTTTGAGACTATAAAGAAAGAAAGAAAGAAAACTAGGCATGCCACTTTGATCCCATGGCATCACGGCTAGGTTTCACTGAATCATGCAGTCAAATTAGCATCCCAAATCAGTTCTCCATTTTGTTTCAGAAGCAATAACAGTTCAAAAACTTTAAATTGACTCAAGAAATGCTGTATCTAGTAGGATAAGAATCCCCAATTAATTTGTCCTAGGCATGCTAAGATTGATAAAACCACTACTTAACCCCAAGAAACCCTATTCTCCAGGATTTCTGTAAAACTTTATATATATGCTCGCATAATAATTACTTAATCAAAGAAGTGAGATTTAATTTTATTAGTTGAAGTGCTAATTTGAATGATCAAATATGTTAAAGAAAGCTTGCAATATTCCTAACATTCTTCCTTTAGCTATTAGCATATTGAGATATAGTCCACCTAAAGAAAGAAGATGTTTAGCAGAAAAAGAAAAAATGTATACAGAAGTTAGAAATCACTTCATTTGCAATGAAAAAAAAGAAGCAAC